AACCTGACCTTGCTTGCCTCCTGATGCCTGACTCTCGGTCTGCCCTTTGGCCTGTCTTGGACTCTGACCTCTTGGCATCTGACTCCTGCTCCGACCACTAGGTCAGACTGCCCACATTCCGATCATGACACAGGGTCTGTAGAAAACCAGTACCAGCGACCGAGTTGTGGGTGGTTTGGCCTGGTGTTCGGGAACCTGAGGCCAAGGGGTAGGTCCAGAATCAGGAGCCAGGTGTCTGAGCCAAAAGTGGGAACTGGGGTCATACAAGAAACAGGAGCTGAAGCCAAGGGACACTGCTGAGTTGGAAGTCAGAGCCGGAGCAGTCAGTCACCAGGCCGACAGGGTTCAGGGACTGGAACAAGACAAGGGACAGGAGCCAGAAACAGGGCAGCGTTGAAGGCAGGAACTGGGGATGAAGCCGGGAGTCAGGAAGTGGACAGCAGGGTCCATAGTATCAGCTTGCCAGGATCCACCTTGTTGCACAGACGACTTCATGTGTCTCTTTTGTCTTTGAACTGTCCTCACCTAACAGATGAGCAGCAGACCAAAGGTCCCTCAAGATGAAGTTTCAAAGGCTGAATATGGAGATGGGAGTTTACAATCCCTTCCTCCAAGTATTTCCTAGGAATTCCACTTCAGACATATTGTCCCAAAAGATCACTCATGTTTGCTACATTGTTCAGCATAGTTTTTTGAAGCTCACGGTACTTCCTAGAGATCACCTTAATCCTGTCTTCCTCCTAAAGACGTTCCATACAGCCCCACAGTAATACATAAACAGTTGCATTTTTAATACAAAGTACTTAAACTTAATTCAATAAGATTTTTCCAGAATATTGCAGGAAATGGCCATAAATGTCACAAGAATCCTTAGTTGTATGCAGTGTTGTTGTATCCGTCTCGATCCCAGGATATTAGAGAAACAAGGTGGGTGAGGTAATATCTTTTTTTGGACCAACTTCTGTCGGTGCAAGAAACAAGCTTTTGAATTTGCAAAGAGCTCTTCTTCAGCTCTGGGAAACTTACTCAGGGCTTGTCTTCACGTACAGTGCTGTAGTGGTGTGCAGCTGAGCTGCTGTAGTGCTTTAGGCCTGGTCTACACTGGGGGGGGGGGGGAATTGATCTAAGATACGCAACTTCAGCTACGAGAATAGCGTAGCTGAAGTCGACGTATCTTGGATCGACTTAGAATCACTTCCGCCTCTCGCCGTGGTGGCGTTCCGGAGTCAACGGCAGAGCGATCGGGGATCAATTTATCGTGTCTACACTATACGCGATAAATCGATCCCCGATAGATCGATCCCTACCCGCCGATCCGGCGGGTAGTGTAGACATACCCTTAGTGAAGACATTACCATGCTGACGGGAGAGTTTCTCCCATTGGCATTGTTAATCCACCTCTCCGAGAGCCGGTAGCTATGTCAACAGGAGAAGCTCTCCCATAGTGCTATCTACACGGGGGGTTAGGTCAGTATAACTATGTTGCTATGGGGTGTTGATTTTTCACGCCCCTGAGTGACGTAGTCATACCGATATAGGTCTGAAATGTAGACCTGGCCTGAGTAAGTTTTCCAGACCTGAAGAAGAGCGCTATGTAAACTCGAAAGCTTGTTTCTCACACCGACAGAAGTTGGTCCAACAAAAGATATTATCTCACCCACCTTGTCTCTCATAAGAATCCTTATACATTTTCCAATTTCAGAAGCAGCTTCACTGGGTAGATTTCTCAAAGCCTTCCCTGGAAGCTAACAGGTGTGGTCCTGCTTTTTTGAAGCTACAGAGCAGAAGAAACCCATTGTAGAAATGGCAAGCCTGGATACTTCAAGAAAAAAACAATCAGATATCACTTTTTGATTCCCTAGGTTTGCTTCAAAATCTTCTAGTCAGTAGAGACTGTCAAAGTGGATTTGCACAGCCCTGCAAGGAATCTTGAGCAATCTGAAGAGCATCCAAACATTTTCTTGCAAGGAGGACCTCAGAGAAAAACTGAATTTGTCATTGGTCATCAGTGCTCATTGTAGCTTCACTAACAGGGACTCAAGTCACAAGAGATGTTAGTGTACATTGTTTCTTGAGTAGGAGAAACTTTGTTGAGATGATTCTTTTTATGAACTAGTGAAATGAAGTGAATTTCCAGATTGCTCAACCAACAGAATTTGAAATTGGGACTGTGAGGAACTGAGGCTTAATATTATTGAGGCGCTTGTCTGATCAATGTAAATTGTCAGATATTTTGAAATCACAGTTGAGAATAAATATGCTTTTCACAATTTGTGTAACTATTTAATGAAAGTGGTCTCCATGATTAAGAAATATTATGGTCATAATTACTTGCAAATGAGTTATTCGGACCATATACTATACTCTGTGATGAAATCGTAATGGAAAAAAGATTCTCACTTTTTAACTGCTCACCAAAATCATAAAATGACATGAACTTTAATCAGAAAATAGCTTGCTATTGAAACTATTCATATTTAATTTTTTTATACCTTGCTAAATCCAGCTTTGGATGGTTCCCCCACCTGCCTCCTGTTTAAATGACTTTGTTTATTTCTGACAGTTTGTTTCCACCAATTTCTTTTGTAACATCTAATTCTGCTGCCTAATTAGAAATCAGATTGTCTGGGGAATATTATTTTTGTACATATTTATTGTTGATAGATCGTTGGTTCATTTTAGTAGTGACAAGTGTTTAACAGTGTAAAGCCCCAAAGCTGTAAAGGGATCTCCATGGGGTTTATAGTCTATTTCAGGACTTGTAGCTAAATGTAGTAGCCAATATGTCCAAATGCATTATTAATTCTTGGTACTTTATTTACAACAATGGGCCCCAATTATGCACATGCTTAACTTTACATTTGTCTGAAGTTAAGCATATGCATAAGTGCTTCTAGGATGAAGGCCTTAGCTACTAAATATCAGGTTTTTGTAATTCCTTCCATCACAGGAATATTATGCATACCATAACAGCTAAGGATTTAAAACAGTTTTCATTACGGCCCAATGTTCTGAGATTTATAACTCATTGTTAAATTTAAAACTTTTTGTTGAAACTAGGCACAACAGGCGTCTACGGGACTGAAATTCTTACTACAAAATTAAAAAATATATATATTGTGGTTTACCTATGTAAATGTGATAGCTACATATGAATGATGAAACTCAAATACTGCAAACATTGTTATTAGTTTGTTATAATTTTTTTCATAATTACTCAAATGAAGATGAAACAAATTACTTCTTAACCACCTATCTACAAACTTCCAAAGCCTTCTTAGAAGGAATACATAATCACCACTACAGTTCCCATATTTCTTATTTATTTTAGGGGTAAGTTGGAATCTTGCTGAGGATTCCTATTTGATGTGAATTGCAGTGATGGGTGGAGCAAAGGGGGCAGATTGCTGAGGGTTTGGAAAGTAGAAGCAGATGGGATGGGGTGCAAATGGAGTAAGGTAGTAGTTGCAGGGTGCAGCAGCCAGTTGAAAGGAATGGGTATTGCAGGTTGGACACAGGCAGACTTAGGGGAGGGCTGGCTTTGGAATACTTGGGAAGTGGGTGGTTTGGTTAGATCATGAAGTATGCGTGGGTCAAAAGAGCAAGAAACTGAGAAGCAGCAGGAGAGGGGCAGATCGAGAGAGTGAGCTGGAGACAAGAGGAGACATTAGATTTGGATCAGGCAGTGTCCTGAATAGTAATGAAAGAGTAAGGGTATGTCCATACTAGCCATCGGATCAGCGGGCAGCGATCGATCCAGCGGGGGTCGATTTATCACGTCTAGTCTAGACACGATAAATCAACCCCCAGCGCTCTCCCGTCGACTCCTGTGCCCCACCGCTGCAAGAGGCGCAGGTAAAGTCGACGGGGGAGCAGCAGCAGTCGACTCACCGCAGTGAAGACACCACCGTGAGTAGATCTAAGTACGTCGACTTCAGCTACGTAGCTGAAGTTGCGTAACTTAGATTCCTTCCTCCTCCCCCCAGTGTAAACCAGGCCTTAGACTCAAGGGTTGTATGTCAAACAAGACTGATATGTCCCTTTGGCATCAGAGTGATCCCAGGACATCACGTAAGTGGCCAACTGGAATCCAAGGGTTTACATGACACATGCTTCCTTGTTTTTGTAAATACTATTTTAGTATACAGTATATGCTATTTTGACAGAGTGTGATCTGAGTAGCTTGCATGTTGGTATACATTGTGTGGGGTTGGGAGGGAACCTCTGAAAGCAAGAAAATTATCAACAGGCTACTTGGGTAACTAAAACTCATGTCTTTCTGCATGACCGTTTTAGATGTAAGCTGACTAGAGTACAGTGTCTCTTCATGTTAGAATGATAACATGCTGTGTGAATATTTTTTCCCAATAATGTTTTCTTTGTACATCAGTTCATGTCAAGTGAATCTCAAGATAACACTTTTCACTGGAAGGTGCTACTATAGCATTGCATTATGGACTTGGTTGCTTTTTCAGTTCTCTGCACTGCATCAGTAATGCCTGATTGAAAAGAGAGCAATGAACCATTCTATAGTTGCATATGGTTACCAGTTTTGTCAGATCATATATGCTACCCACTGTAGCTGTCAGTGCAGTATTTTCTGATGGGATTTGAACGATGTTTGCCATTCTGGTTGAATTTAAATAGCATCATAATATAAGGATTAAGGAGCCATGAGCATTGATAGCCCTTATGTAACACCTTTGATTAAAAAAATCTCAACGCTCATTATAAACAACTAAACCTGACCACCCTAGGCAGTATCTAGCTGGTGGTACTGGTGGAAGACTGACTCTGAGAGGCTGTCTATTGTCACATGGCAAGTCTGTGGCAGACATGGGATGATAACTTGGAAGTCCTAACTCCCACAGATCACTCTGGGTAGGATTGCATTCCCTGTGATGAGTAGGCACGTGCTCTTCATCCACAAGATAACTTCTACATCCTTTCAGCAGCCTTATTATTATTTAAACATAAGCATTGTGTATTTCTCTACGCAGGTCCTGATGGGGAGAGTGCCAGACCGTGGAGGCAGACCAACTGAGATTGAGCCACCACCTCCTGAAATGCCCCCTTGGCAGAAGAGACAAGAAGGTGGTGGGAGGGGTGGTTGGGGGGGAGGAGGTGGTGGTGGTGGGAGGGGTGGTTGGGGGGGAGGAGGTGGCAGAGGAGGTGGTGGTGGTAGAGGTGGAGGTGGTTTCCAAGGACGGGGAGACTATGGAGGCAGGGGGGGTTACAGTGGCAGAGGCGGCTATGGAGATCCATATGGTGGAAGGGGAGGAGGATATAGAAGATACTAACAACAACATTGTAAATACTAATAACTGACAAAACATGGTTGTGATATTTACTGGTAGCGAGAGGTGTGTATATTAGCAATGGTTTAGTGTTATGATAGGAAAGTTAATTATGATCTCTTTATTAATGAATCACTGCATTTGATCCCTGATATTATTTAATCCTGTTAGTCAACTGAACATTTTTTTTATATCGAAATGTGATGTCTTAAAGTAGTCCTCTTTTTGCACTGCTCATGTGTGTATTCTTAAACAGTTTGGTTTTTTAAATAACAAACTTCAGAAAAGTGAATAGAAACAATGAATTTTTCTTTTTTCAATGTTACTATTTTATGTTCAGACCTCTTTAATTATTGCCTGTCATATCCAGAATACAGGAAATGATTTAGGAGGCATTTGGCTTTGTAGGCCATACTTAGTTTTATATGCTTTAAAAGGACTGTAGAATGCTGGTTCCTGCTTCTTGTCTTTTCAGTCCTCTGTATGGAACAATTGAAAAAAATGTAACATCAGAAGTAAATCTAAAATACTCTAAAAATTTTAAAACAAAAAAACTTCATTGTTTCCAAGTGATGTATTGAATCCATGCTATTCCATGGTCAACAAAACAAGGCTATGCTGTATTTATATATAATGTATACAAATATTTCAAAGCCAAAAACTTGCATTGTAAAAACTGATTTGTGATGAGCCTTGATAGGTAAAATGAAAATGATCTGCTAAAAGTGGCATTCTATGAACCTTACTTTAAAATCAGACCCTGTTACCTGTGATGAAAAATTTCCCCAACCATCTAACACCTAGCCAGCTGGTCACTTACACGGTCTTCTGTAACACATAAGCCCCAGAAGGCTGAGTAAGATGACTGTGCCCTGAACTGTCCTGTTGAGAAGGAAGTCAGTCACAGGCTCTGTGTCTGGTAGTTGGTCAGTGGGCAAGGGGAGCTCACAATGTCCTTCTGCCACCTCCCCAAAAATAATTTCAGTTGCAAGGATGAGATCCTTTTTCTCCTCCTTTGCCTCCTGCCCCAAAACACTACTCCACTCATTCTTTGTATCAGTTTGGGTGCTCTCATTTTGATTGAAATTGGTGAGGATCATAATCATGTAGGATTTTTAGAGATGTATATGGCCCTATTATTTGGCCCTATTATTTGGCCCTATTGGCTCCACTGTCTCCTAAGTGCTTGGAAGTGACACAAATTAACCAGAAAAGGGCACTCTTATTTGGAAATAAGTGTGTCCATGGGGTAATTATAGCAGTATAATTATAACAGTAAATATCCCTATGTAGACAAGTCCTAACTTCCAATTTATAGCTGTCAGCTAGAGAGAGACCTTTAGGTTGTCCAGCCTATTTACTCCCCAGCTGTCGGCCAGCTTAGTGGGGAGGCATTAGACATGTGTCTACTCTTGAGACGAGTCCCCAGGGTCTGATTACCATGAATAACATCTGAGTTGAGCAGAATCAGAGCCTTTCCTTGGGAAAGGGGAGTAACTTACGTGGCTGAGGCCAAGAAGAAAGTCTCTCAAAACGGGGAGGGAGCAGTGTCCCTGACTACAGAGCACAGAAAACGTGAAGAGTTTCCATAGCCTATGTAGCTGCAGTAGTAACTTTAAGCTGAATAGGGCCTGCTTTTTGTTTTTATGTGCTAGAGTTCTGAGGCTGGATCCTTCTTTATTAACTTCTCATGAATGTCCCAGCCTAATATATTCTGGTTCTGGGGTCCCATATGGGTCCCCTTGACTCCAGCAGGAGCCTCATGTACATGTATTTGCGCCAAAATATGGCCCAAGGCTATATTCAACATTAAAAATTATTCTCTCTCCCTCAAATATCTTCCTCTAATCTTGTAAGATTAGTTATAACAACACTTCTGTTGTTTTTTTTAAACTCCTTATTTGAACTTTTCCTTTAGACTGAATGTAGTTTTTCCCAGTCCTGACCTCCTATCCTGCCTGGAGAATGGCTGAGAGCACTACTTAGGACATCTGTGGCAGAAGTGAGCTAAACAGTACTGAAGGAAAACGGTACTTCCCTTTGCTTCCACTTCGAGGTCAGCTTGGTGTGAGCAGAGAACCCTTGAATCCTACAGTAATGGGGTCATGAGCAACCAAAGGGCACTGTTTTGAAAAAGCTGTTCATAGAATTAGGAAAGTGATTTTTTCATCAGCAGCTCCTGGCCTACTGTAGCTGTCAGCTGACTGTTTCACTCCGCTTCTGGCACTACACAACATCACCACCAGTTCCTCTCCTGCACATGCTTCTTGTGTTAGATGGGAGTCACTGACAGCCTCCTGCTGCATTAGAGAGAGCAGTAGGTAGGGAGTGTGGAGAGCAGTGTTTCCAGGTATTCTTAGCTTAGCTCTGCCCTGTCAGATACTTCGGTCAGGATGGGGACAAAAGTTCAATACAGAACTCTGCTGTCCTCAAACTGGCTCTGTAGAAGAACAACCAGGAGGGAAAGGGAAGGAAGGGAACAGTTTTCCTTTCTCTCACACAGTCCCTAAGCTGAAATTCTGCCTGTTTGTCCCAACGTAGTGTTTTGATGACTTCTGCTACAAAGGACATCTGAATAGCACCAAGAGGCCGAGGCTAGGAAAATCTGGCTTGTCTATATGCTATGATTGCAACAGTTTAAGTAAAAGTGAAATATCTTACTGATTTTTAGTTAAACAGGCACAGCTTTGCGTGTGTAGCCACTCTTACATTGGTTTTGAACTAGCTTAGCATGCCTGGGACAGGATTGACATAAATCAGACAGACATAAATCAAGTTTAAACCCATGTAAGAGTGGCCACACAAAGTCGTACCAATTTAACTAAATCGGTGCAACATCACACCTTTAGTTATATCAGTGCACCTTCAGCATGTAGACCAGACCTAAAACAGATCTAAAATAAAAGTGAAATAAATTGGGGTTTTTTAATTTGCCCATTGAAACTTTCTTATAACCTTGCAAAATCTGAAGCATTAAGAAAGTAAAATGAACAAGTACGCACATTTCAAAGATTACATTATTTTGTGTCTCCCCTGTTCAGTATGTATGTTTTTAACTTTCAAAAGATGCAATAAAATCTTCTAAAAATAGATTTGATTTAAACCTGTTCTCAAAATCTTTTTTTATGTTTCCGTCCTGAACAATGAATTTTCAAGACTTTGGTTTTGAGTAAATACAGCTTGTGTTTTGGGAGGGTAATATGGATTTTGTTGTATATGTTTGTGAACATTTGGGGTTTTTTTTTAATGTTCTCATTTAGTGATCATCCATCCAAAATGTGGGGGTGGGAGGGTTGTTTGAGAGTGGGGGGAAAAAATTATTTTCAGGATTTAAGAAAACACTTTAATAGCTGTGAACACGGAAAAATAAAGTACTGTATTTAAAGTTTGTTTGCGTCTTTTATACAGTGTGGTTTAGATCATCTGTCATAAGTTGCTTCTGTATGTTAAAGAATGGTCTCCTATTGGTAGCTTGCAAGAATGGAAGAACTAACTTTGAGTTAATGGGAAGAAAACAATATCTTGAGGTCTGCCATTTTGAATTCTTGAGACAGTTCTGCTCGCTCTGGTAGCCACTAACTTTAATTGAGCTGGAAGTGATGTGCTTTTTAAAGTATTTTATGAAAAATAAAAGCCTCACAAGAATTGGTGGGATGAATACATTAACACATTTCTGGGCAGGCTACTGCATTAGTCCAAATGGCATGATGTTTAATTTGTCTCCAGTTCTGTCCTTGAAAAGGAGACCGTTTTGAACATAAAGAGGAAAGCATAGCATGTTTGTATAGGTTTTTTTCCCCCCATGAAATAACTAATAGGCTTTAGCTATCCTGTGAAAACATAATGGAGGAAAGGCTCTTTAGTTTTACTGTTAAGATAAACTAGGTGAGGTCAATTACAAGTGGGATATGGTGCAACCTCACCTAGCTGCCTCAGCAAACACTACAAAAAAATTTCTCCTCTTAGGGTTTTACAGTGAGATAACTAATGTGCATCAGTTATCTTGCTGGAGGTAAAAAAGGCTTTATGTCAATGAAGACAAAGCCTTCCTGCCTGGAAGCTGTGTGTGTGGCAAAAGTCTTGGCCAACTGCAGAGTTTCAAGAAGTAACAGCTTTTGAGAAAACATAGTAACTTACATGAGTAAGCAGAGGTAGAGCTCAAAAGTAAGGATTGTAGTAGTTAACAATGGAAAAGACCATTCAGATGTCAATCTGTCCTCCATATGTGCATCAGATATTAGACTGAAGGAAGATGAATGGGAATGGAAGTGGTGAAAGAAATATCCTGAAGCTCATAGTTCATCATGCAGAGATGCTGATTTCAGAGTAGAGATTTTGTTGGATGTATTTTAGGCATCAGGCAAGTCTGCCAGAGAAAAAGGCTTTGGATGCTTATGGGACAAAATTACAATAGGCATTAATTCTGTTTTAGCAACTTTTATAATATAAATATTACACAAAGAAAACTTACTTATATGTAAAAAATCTTTACAATCTATACACTTGGTTTTTCAGTCAGTCTTCTTTAACATATATCTTCAGACAGAATTCTACAAATTACCACCACTATAGACGCCGAACAAATTTACAGAAACATTAATGCAGATTGCTACTATTGCAACATTTTCTTTGCTGTTTCCAACACATATAAGTTACTTTACAGTAATTATACTTGACTCCTCTACCTTAGGCAAATGGTAATAAATTTAGTCCCAGTTTGTTCTTGTACCAGTACTAACCAATCAACACTCCAAATGATTAGACTAGAAACCCAAGGACAAGCAATATTTCCTTTAAAGGGACACCATCAACTTAAAAAAAAAAAACCACCCAAAATTATACTTCTCTAAAAAAAAAAATTCTGTTTTTTTTTCTGTTTTTTTTTTTTTTTTAATCTTAATGCCTTAGCTACACTAGGGAAAGAAGTGGGTGTTTTTAAATTGGATAAGCCATGACATATTAACAAAATTTTAAGAGTTAAAACTTATCCAAACTAGTTTCTAGACAGCATCCAATTCTAATGTCAGCTAACACATTTCTAAAAACTCACCATTGTCCTTAGTCTAGACAAGGCCTACAATGACTAGAAATGAAAAATATTTCTATAAAGTTTGTTTTCAGTTTATTTACTTTGTGCTTTTTGCTTTTGTGTAGTCAGTTTCATTTTTCCCCCTGTTCAGTCAGTTTCTGTTGTTGGTATGGGTCTTTCACAGAGCAAGAGAGGATATAAAAATAGGAAAATATTAATATAAAACTGCAAACATTCACAGGAACTTAACGGGCAAATATATTACCTGAAACTACTATTAATGTCCTGAAATTTCCAGATTTCAGCTGCTTCTCTTTTGGTTGAATACTTTCAATATATGTGAAACAACCATACCTATCTTGTACAGTCTCCTGTAAATGGATCTGTCCCAGTCACTCAAATAATCCTTGTACAACCACTGAGTGTACAGTACACAGGGGAATGCTGGCCTGATACCTAATTCTCTCCCCTGAACTTTCCCCCCCCCCCCCCCATTTTTTGTGTGTTTGCTGGGATGAATGTACTTTGAAGCAGCTGACAATCAAGGCACAGGTGTAGCAGAGCCAAAATGGCAGCTGATTGACTGGATTTTAATATGAAACTAAGATGAAAATTTTTACTTGATGTGGAAAGCGGGGAGAGGCAGTCTAGCCAGTCCTTAAACAGGAGAGATTTGATTAGTTTTATTTCGGATCTATAACGTTTTGACATATGGTTTGAGCATTGGCCTGCTAAACCCAGCGTTGTGAGTTCAATCCTTGAGAGGGCCATTTAGGGATCTGGAGCAAAAATCTGTCTGGGGATTGGTCCTGCTTTGAGCAGGGGGTTGGACTAGATGACTTTCTAAGGTCCCTTCCAACCCTGATATTCTGTGACTCATATTTAGGCCCTTTTGATATCCTCATGATCAGTGCAGTGATACGTAGATGGGAAGGAAGACAATACTGCATGCACCAAAATGATAGAAGAAGGGAAAAGGAGAAGTTGAGATGGAGTTAAGAGAAAAATAAAACTGAGATTGCAAAAACCTTTCTTTCCAGAATCAGGACTTCATGTATGTGGTTTACAGGACAGAAGTGCTGGTTCAAACAGGGTCTGCAAATCTCATTCCAAACA